TCCTCTCAAAGGGCTTCTTGGGAGCTGCCTGGGACTCTGGGAAGAAGGTGAAGACCTGGAGCTGCTGTAGGACTCGAGCATGCTCTTCCTGGAAGATGGCAATGAGGTTCCCCTCCCTGCCGGCCACCTTCAGCAACTGGAAACAGAGCAGGGTTGGTGTCATGGTTAGGTGACTGCCATCAGCAAAAGTAGCTGAGGCTACGGCAGAGGCCACGCCTGCTCCCAGGCCAAGCAGGGCTCTGCATGCTGCCTGTGACTTGTGCCAGGGCTGGATTTGCAGCACTGTAAGGCCCAGCTCTGAGGGATTCCCAAGCTCACGCCCTGAGAATCTCCCATTGGCAAATGCCACCTGCCACTGCTGCAGGAGCAGCCAGCTAATGAGTCATCTCCCACATCTCTAAACACATCAGCATCTCAACCAGGCAATCCCTGCCCGCGAGGACCCACAAGAGCTTCCCTGAGGCACTCAGGGGCAGCTTCTCCTGCAATGGGATGGATCCCAGGGAGGCTCAGGGACAAGCCCTACACAGAGAGCAGTGCTGCAGCAAGCACCCTGCTAGCTGTGCTCCAGGAACCCACCGACAGCAAGGGCCTCAGCTCCTCCAGGGCCAGGCGCACAAAGTCGCAGTGAGCCTCGGCATAGCCCTGCACGCAGCTGGCAAAGAGCTCCTTGGCGAAGCGCTGGAATTTGGGCAGCTCGTCCAGCAGCTGCGCGTTGAGGGCCTCGTAGTTGTTGCGGGCTGACTGCAGCTCTTCCAGCGTTCGTTTGTCCTTCAGCTTCTCCGCTCGCTCCGTGCAGTTGTGGAAGTCAAGGAGCTTGTCGAAGCGCTTCTGCACGAGCTTGTGTGGCCCCATGAACATGCTCAGCAGCTGGTTCAGGGGTGAGGTCACCAGCCGCTCTGTCCGCTCTTTCTGGTGGACAAAGATGCAGGGAGCAGGTGAAATGAGCTGCTCCAGACACCCCCTCTCCCCTGCCCTGCCGTGAACACCCACAGCTCTGGCACACAAGACTCCCAGGACAGTATAGGGTCCTTTTTCCAGATACTACTCAACAGAACTCCAGGTCTCTTCCCACATCTATCACTCCATAATCCAATGTCAATATGCCACCCTCTGGGAGGGATGTAAACCTCTTGCTGTGTCCCTTCAGGTAGGGCTGAAAAAATGTGTACCTAACAGGCAGGCTCGATGCACCACACAAGCCCACAGGCATCAAAGCTCTCAGGAGGAGAAGAGTCGAACAGAGATAGGGAGGTGCTCACACCTCTCCCAGGCTGTGTCACCCTCCCTGCAGCATCCCACGGTCAGCAGGGCTCTTCTGCCTGCCTGCACCAAGGCCTGCAGAGAGGGCCCTCAGGGGAGCCTCGGGCACACAAGGGTACAGGCTCACTCACAAAGCTGGAGAAGAGCTGGTCACTGATGAGACGATTCACTTTCTGGAACTGGTCCAAGTCCCCGCCGCCTTTCTCTGTGCACAGGTCCCACATGCTCACTGCTGCCAGCGCCTTCATGCAGGCTGACTCCTGCACCAGGGTCACACAGTCAGCACAGCCACACTGGTGCCAGGAGACCAGGCCTGCCGGCACGGGCCCACATTCCAGGGGCAAAGGGAGGACCTCCCCAGAGCAGCCTGGAGCAGAAGCCAGGCAGGGCCCTGGGCAGGAGCACTACCTGCTGGAGCAGAGCACACAACGAGCCCCGCGAGCATCACACCCAGACAGACTCACCCGGACATGCTGCAGGTAGAGGGAAAGATCCCGGATGAAGGACTTGATCAGCCGCTCCTGCATCCGGAAATTTTTCTCTGTCTCCTCAAAGGCCTCATCCTTCAGCTGTGAAAGGAAATGGCTCAAGGGAGGCGATGCAGAGTGCTGGCACCTCCCAGAGCACACGATGCGGGGCCTCCTGCCCACCAGCTGGACAGCAGAGTTGGGTGGCTCAGAGCCCTGGCTCACTCTGCCTGGCCCTGAATCTGAGATGCTCAGCAGGGAAGGGGTGAGGGAGAAGGTATTGCCATCTCCTCAAGCATCACGGAGTGTAAGTGCCCCTTGATGTGTGTTACCTGGGGGGCAAAGCCTGTGAGATGCTTGAGATGGCTGCTCACACGGTTGGATTTCTTGATGATGGAATGGAAGTTGAGCTTGGATATCTTCTCCATGAGGCTGTCCTCATCCCCTTTCCGGTACTTTAGCACTAAAGAGATTGATGTAGAAATCAGAACCTTCAGCAGCCCAATGCCTGTATCTTAGGGTGCTTATGGTATCTCTCCTTCTCATCCTTCCTAGGCCCCCATAGCCCCAAGTGCCCCATGTTTCACACCATCTCTGCAACCCAGCACTGTGCTTGCCACCTGTAATACTCCTGCTTGGCTCTGGATCTGCCCTGCAGTTTGCAGATTCACCCACTCAAACTCCTTGAGCAGAAATATGTGTAGCATTAGCATGAGATAACATAGGAGGTGGCATACAATAACCATTGAACGTACACAGAGTATTTATATAATTTGTTTAGCAAATATGAGTAACCATGACAGCCTATATCATCTCTGTTTTATTGGGGCGTGTGGAAAGTGACACAAGAGATAGAGTCAGGGGCTGCGAAGGGAAAAGAGGATGGTGGCCAGCAGGCCAAGGGAAATCATTCTTTCCCTCCTTTCAGTATTCAGGAGGTTACTCCTGCATCACTTGTCTTTGATCACCAGGTCAAGAGGGCTGTGGAAGAACCGGAGCTACAAGGAGAGCTCATGTCCTGTAGTGAGCTGGGCTGGCTCAGTCTGACAGAGGAGACATGGAGGAATCTGCTCACAGGCCACAGCTCCTGGGAAGGCTGGCTACAAAGATGATGGAGCCCTCTCAGCAGGGCCAGGCAATACAAGGGCCAGTGGCTGCAGATGGCAGCGTGGAGGTTGAGGGTGGACATAGAGAGCACCTCTTCACTGGAAGGGTGCTACAGCCCTTGGAGAGGCCAACAGACTGTGAAATCTCCACCCTTGGGGGTCAGTGATACTTGTTTGGAGAAAGCAATGGGTGATCAGATCAAATGCTGGGAATAATGCTGCTAGGAGCGGGAGGTCAGACTGGGGACCTCAGAGGACCCTTCTAGCCAATTTGTCTGTGATTCTGTCCTGTCTACAGATATTTCTTCAAGCCTAGACGCTAAACCTCAGTAAGACAGAGACTGCCCTAAAAGATTAATAACCTATTTATGCTCTTCAGAACAGCAATTTTAACTGTAAATATCTATTATTTTCTCTTAACAATTTTGTTTTCATTGGTAGGCACATGATCAGCAATTGCATACATTTCTTATTGTTATAGAACAAGAAAGTCGTGTCATATCTGTACTGCACTATTCTTTGTGTACTGTCTCTCATACTTAAATTTTTAAATGTGCTTTTAATATTCTGCTGTGAAGACACAGTCTATTGAGGGCAGATCCTCTGTACCACTGTGGTTGCCAACTAATGCTCTGAAGCTGACAGACTCCAATTTCAATACACCCACTCCTGTCCCTTGCTCCCCAGCTCTATACCCAGCTACGCACCCAGGTCCTTCCGGCGCTTGTATTCGTTGATGTTCACGTTGATTTCTTTGACTGCGAGGACAGCAGCTGTGAGTGGTGCCTTGTCAGGGTGAGACTCAGGGGTGGCACTCAGCAGCTCCATCAGCAACAGCGGGTACCGCATCACCCTTTGCACTGGCTTGATGAGGAATGAGCCCAGGTTAATGTAGTTTGTGCAGCCCCTGAGAAGTTGGGACAAAGAAGATGCAGCAGGTTTCGATCCAGCTCTACAAAACCATTCCTGCCCCCTTAAACCAACACCAACCATACCCAGAGCACCATGAGGTCTAAATTCCTAAGTCACTGCACCCTCACCTCCAAACCTGTTGCAATCCTGAACCTACCAAGATCTCAAGCTAGTCCCAGGCTTTCCAGTCCTCTGAAATACTAAGTGACCCTTCCTAGCTAGGCTGCCACTGGTCTCATCACAAAACCCCACCAGGGTGCAGCCTCAAACTTACCAGAGCTCCATTCGCCTCAGTCTCTGTCCCACCACCCTGGCTATACGTTAATATCTCTGGCCTGACCTGCAGTGCAGAACAGGCTGGCTGGCCTCAGGACTTCAGCCTGCACATGGCTTTCCTAGGGGCTGAGGACTTCCAAAACCTTTCTTCTGCACAAGACACCCTATCTTGCCTCATGGTCTGCCAAGTGCTCCTTGTCTGTGTAGCCCATCTATTGCCTGTCACAAACTCATCCACGCTCCTCCTCAGATCCACAAGGTACTGTTAGGCCCCCCAGACATGCACGCAGCTGGTGGTGAAAGGTTAGTTGTGAAGGAGCAGCCAGGTCAAGACAGGCAAGCTGGGACCAACAGGAATGAGTCACTTACCACTCACTGTACAGGCTCCTGCCGGCCCACAGAGTGCCAAAAAGCAAAGAAAAGCAACTGGTTAACAGGGTGGTAGGCGTGCAACCCCGCAGCTGCTGCCTTCATGCCACCCTGCAGTGACACTGTCAACACAGAGGACACACCGCGCTGTCCCAGAGCAGCAGCAGGTGCTGCCCGTTCCCTGGGCACCAACCTCCACAAGCTGAGCCCTGGTGTTGGCTGAGCCGGGCAAAGTGGCGTGTTCCTCACCCGCCGTGGTGCAGCAGGGCTTAGGGAGTACAAACCTACACCCAGGACACACTGTTTTTCATACCTTGGTGACTTCTACCTGGCATTTAAGGGTGGGCAACAGCTGCCCCAGCACCTCTGCACTGGTGGAGAGGGGCATTGCTCAAGACATGCTCCTTCTAGCTGAACCAGAGCCTGGTCATCTATGCAATGCCACACTGGGAACACAGCCTGTCCCTCTCCTGCCACCACCTGAACTGTCCCAGTATGGCTGGCAGGTAGGGATTCTGGAGACTGATCCCCCCATCCCAGCCTGGTGGCCGTCACAGCCAGAGACTCCAACCTGAGGCTATCCAGAAGGTCCAGGAGTAATCTCTGAATCTTCTCATCCTTCTCATAGGTTTCCAAAAGGGCGATGGCCTCGTCGTGGTTCTGACAATACACCTTGTAGACGGCCTCCAGCTCTGCACGCCGTGACAGAAATACTGGCCCTGCACAGAGCAGCAAAGAGGGACTTCAGCATCTCTTGGACACTTCACTACCTTCAGCAATCTCAGTGTATCCCACAGGGAGATTCCCAGAGTCCATCTCTCAGGAGGACCCAGGATCCCCGATATCTCCATCAGCACAGTCTCATGTCCTTCCTGCTGCCCCGTGATCACAGACTGGGCACTGTGGGCACTCAGGACACAAAATTTTAAGCTGTGCAGCAAAGGTTTGCCACAGCAAGGAGAACTTGTGGGCTGAAGCCAAGGGAATGTGACAGCACCTCACTGGGATGTGCTTACTCAGGCTTTGAGGGGACTATTTACTTAGTCAAAGGGTCCCACAAGGCCCCCTGAGAACTGCTAGCACAGTGGCCTAGGTTAATCCAGCTCTCCAAGGAGTGGAGAGCAGGGAAACTGCTCACTAGCAGTGGGAGCAGGGAGTCCCATAGACTGCCCATGGCCTGAACAGTGAAAGATGGTGGCACAGGTGTGAGGGAATGGGCATCCCATTGGAGCAAGGAGCCACAGGGAGGGCCACACCACACTGCACAGACGCCCATGGGACAACAGAGATCTCCATGGCTTCATTGCAGGACTAAGGAATTCTGACACAAAGCAGCAGGAAGGTAACCTTGTCCTAAGCTCTGCCCTAGTGACCCTTTCTCACCATTTAAACCACTCTGCTCCTCTGTACCCTACTTGCAAAAACCTTTGCAGCCTGCTGAGAAGAAAGAACAGTAGAATTCATACCAATGGCATCTGAAGTCTCCAAGGCTGTCAAGAGCTCTTTGGAGAAGGTAATTACCATCTGTATGTTTCCAAAAAGACCTTCAAAGTCTATATTTGGCACCTGGGAAAGGGGAATAGAGAGATAGGCATTAAGAGAACATGTCCCACGACCTCTAAAAGCCCCCGCTTTGCCTTCTTGCAACCCATCAGCCCTCTGCACTCCAGCAGCCGCCCACTGTGAGCTGCTCTGTGCACTGAAACTCTCATTCCTTATGTGTCCCACCAAACGTGTTGTCACTGACCTATCTCCCCTTTCCCCAGAAACTTCACACCTGCCTCTGATGACCTGACATCATCTTCCTCCTGACAATAAACTTAACCTCAAAAAAATGAGGAGGAACAACACCTCCCACCCTCGAAAATCTATTTGCTATATTTCCTGCCAGATATCAGCAACAGTAAGACCTCAGCAGGTTCCCAAAAGAGGTGGGATAACCTGTTGACTGCAGGAAGCTCTTCTGCTCCCCTGAATGTAGCTGAATTTCCTGTGTGGGTTTCCATGCCAATTTTAGCTACCTTCAACAAAACGGACTTGGTATCCTCCCCCCATTCCTGCCAATGTTACACTGCAGCCTGTCCCCATGCTCATACCTGTGCCTGCTGCAGAGGCACCATGATCCTCTCCACACACATCTCCAGGTCTCGGACATAGTCCCGCTCTGTCTGGAGCAGTTCCTCAATAACTTTGGACCTCTTCTCCAGCATCCTTTGCTCTGGGCTCTCAGTAGCAGCAGAGGAAGTCTCCAGGGACGGTGTCTGGGACGACAGGAGGGTCATCTCTGCAAGACAGATTGACAAGATCAGCATCCTCCAGTGACACCTGGCCTGATCCTCGCATGCAAGGAGGAGACACACAGCACTGGGACTGTGCCACCCTCAACCTATGGAACTATGCAGCACACACGTCAGGCCAGCAAGCAGTGCCAGCAGGACTGTCCTACCCAAGGACCTTTCCGGAGAGGACATGCTGAGCTCTCCCTCTCCCTGCTGTGCTCCTCCACGCCTCAGAGTGCAGGGCTCTGCCCTGCTCCACAGGCTGCCCTCAGCCCCCAGCACTGGCAGCAGGGTCCCCAGTGCTGCAGGGACAGGGACAGCCTGCCAGGCTGTGACTCCTGCCCTCCAAGCACCAGCTGCCGAGAGCCTGGGGCATTTCCAACTCCCTTGGCCTTGGGAAAGGGGCAGAGGGCTGCTGTGGA